AAAAAAAAAAAAAAAAAAAAAAAAAAGGAGCTTTGCGTCCCAAAGTAAGACAGAAACAGGGAAACCACAGGGAGTAGTCCAGTCTGCACCCTCTGATCTGGGCCATAGGAGGGGAGGCTGACTTGGAGAAGAGCCAGGGTGCTAAGTGTCCTGTGCTTTCTGTCCAGAATGCAGGGCAGGTCCATCTCAGCAGGCTATGCGTCCAACTGGATATACTGGATGATGTTCTAGGAGAGCTGCAGCTGAGGACTAAGTACAGCTGAACCCTCTGATATTTGTTCAACACCTACAATGTCCTCTCACCTGTCTTTGCAGAAGGGGGCCCTGCTGCCCACGGGGACCATAAGACTTAAAGGGGAAACACATTAGATACGCTTAGGGTTCATAAGAGTTGGCTGTGTGATGTCATAGAAGCATGCACCTAAATCCATACACAGCCTTGTGCTTTTTGGAAGCAAGGAGCAGAGTCTCCTGACCAAGCATGGGTCTGGGAGAATGGGCACAGGATCCAGGAAACCCTCTGCTCCTGCTATACCTGCTCTGCAGACCTGAGGATGTGTCAGAGCTGGGAAATGAAGGACAGCCGGCAACACAAGGTTGGAGAGGAAGGATCAGGTGCAGGGTCCTGGTTCCTCCGTGTGCTCACTTCATTCACAGTTACCTCAGATCCTGCCTCAAGAGCATTAGTCTGGAAAACCCTGACCCTTACCTGGCAGTTGGTACCTCTGACAGCTGGGGCAAGGATGGGGTCTAAGGAAAGGTATCACCTGCTGTGACCACCAGGAACCAGCCCAGGATTCCCTTGCAGTGATTTCTGGACATGCTCAGCACTGGCTGCAGGGCGAGAGCAACTCCAAGGCTGGGTCTTGGTGGGGGGAGGCACAGGGGAATCCATATGAGTGAGGTTCCCTCAATCTGGCCAAGAAGCACAGCTGGTGTAAGGACAGAGAAGCATAGAACAGTGGGAAGGGAGAAGCATGGTTTGCACATGGACAGCACCTGCTACACAGCCCTGCTCAACACCGGTGACCATGCACCTGCTCACAGGAGCGCACCACATGCACCAGGTGGCTCAGGTTCAAATCATTGTTGTCCTTGTTGTACTCACGGAGGGCAAAGTCCACAGCCTGCTGCACATTTTCATTGCTAGAGTCCATGTCTTCCAGGCCACCAAATACTGGATAGGTCATATGATGGAATTTAAAGGCCTTGTTGGTCATGGCCAGGTCCAAGACCACTGTAGTCAGGAGCAGCAGAGTGACACATAGGGATGAAGCCATGTGTGCAGGATGGAAAGCCGGGGTTGCAGGGCAAAGACAGCAGTGATGGACAAGACACAGTGTAGAATAGGTGGCCCTGCTTTATACTGTGAGGCCCCAGATCCTTTCCTCCCTACTTCCCTCCCTCCCAGTCTCCCAGCCCCAATGCCCATTTCCTGCTGGCCCCTCCCCTCTGCTGTGGCTTCCAGTGCTGGCTGTTCCTCCTCTATCCCTCTCTTCTCCTGGCTCATGGCCTCCCCCCTCCTCCTCCCATTTGCTCCCCAACTCCTACGTGCCTGACCCTCTTACCTTTCTCCCTCCTGAACTCTCCCAGGCTCAGTCTCCTTGTTCTCCACAACTCCCTGGTCCCTAAACAGTACAATTTAGAAATGTATTACTGCAGGTAAGGGTCTGAGCTGTTTTAGCTTCTCCAGGGCCTCTGAGATCAGGCCCTGCAGTGGGGTCATAAGCAGGGACTCGTGAGAGGAGGAAGGGGATTTCCCAGGTGCCTGCAAGCCAGGGCATGCCCTGTCCTGAGAAAATTCGCTGTCAAGCAGAAGTGACTCCTATTTACTTGGGAAAGGATATTCATCTAACCTAAAGACTTGTGACAGTCAGTCAAGCAACAGATCTGCCAGCAAGGTTCCCTAGGCCAGAGTGAGACACAGGTGGCTGGGCCTTCAGGACACCCAGGGAACCCCCATCCAGAGCAGGAACACAGGCCAGGTGTGGTTTATCCTTCTAGTGGACACATCATGAAAGTAACATGGACAAGTGATATCATGTAAATAAAATGTCTACTTAACATTTACCAAAAATGTCCTTTCAAGATATAGGACAATTCTTAATGAGATATCTTATACTGAGTTTGTGTGGTCTTTGGAATGTAGGTGTTTTTATAACTCTCAGGTAGGTGTCCCCATTTCTAGCCCTCTTGGCCCTATGTGGTAAAGCAGATACCCAGCTACAGGGAGCAATTTTGGGAATGGGTGACAGTACTTGAGATGAGGGAATCATGGGGGCATTGCAGGAAGGAGAGGAAGGATTGGTGACAGAGATTGAATCTTTTATCTTCCAATCCCAATGTTCTCTCACAGTGACCCAGGAACCATGACTGTAGGGTGAAAGTGGCTTGTTTGCACAGGTCCTCTTGCCCTTACCTGGCACCCAGCAGATTTCCCTGGGCATGGGGGGAATGTAAGGCCTAAGACTTACTGTGCATTTGGTTGGTGTGGGAGAAGCGATCTCAGGAATCAGCAGCAGTGTAGTACAGAGGTCCTGCATATGACCAGAGAGGCCCAGAAGCCTGCTGTGAAACCTGCAGTGAATAGTTCTGAGGACCATGAACAGGGTTCCTGCACTGAAGAGCAGATTCTCGATGCAGAGGAAATGGTGTTGGGTTAGCACAAGAGATATCTGGGATTTCACTGTAGAGAAGAGAAATGATACCCTGGTTCAACAGTGTCTGAAAAGGCTGACCATCTGCTCAGGAGTGAAGGCAGCTGTTGAGGTCAAGAGGATCCCATGCTGTTCCCCCATGATGAACACACAGGGCCCTGGAAGATCAGCTGACATTAATCTGCTTGTGCCCTGTGTGCAGCACAGAAATACAACAGAGGTGGCATTTCTCACAGATGTGAATGTGCAATTCGGTATGTGAATACCCATATGAACCATCACATCAGCACATAAAGGAAGACTCACATGATCATATGCATAGACAGGGAAGAAGTACTCAAGAAAGTATAACATGCTGCATGACAAAACGTCACATCAAATTACCAAGAGGGTCCTGGGTAAAGATATTACAGAAGAAGATTACTATAGAAACCCAAAGGCACATCCCACACTCAGGGAATGATTTAGAAGCTTCCCTCTAAGAACAGGCACAAGACAGGAATGTCTGCTCCATGCACAGTGTGCACAATCACAGTGGAAGTCATTGCCAATCAGGGAAGCAGCAGGTTAGTGGGCAGGTGTGGAAAGAAGAAATAAGCCTCTGGCCCACATAATGTGATCAAAGGTTCTGTGCAGTGAAGTAAAGTACATTCCAGAAGAGGGACAGCCTCTCCACACACTGGACTGGAGCAGCTGGACTTGTACACATGGAAAGGGAGTCTACCCCAGACATGACTCTCATAACACATGTAGTTCCAGAGCAAGAACTGGCCCAACATGCCATGGAGAACTCTAAAGCTCCTAGAAGAGAAAAGAAGGATGCTTAGATGACCTGAGCTATGGCACACATGTCTTACATGAAGCTTCAAAGGCTTGGACTGTGAAAGCCAGAAGCTGTGAGTTAAGCCTCAATCATATGAGAACCTTCTTCTCTTGAGCACCCAGGGTCAAGAAAACAAGAGATAAGACACAGAGGGCAAAATGTTTGCCAAATGCACTTCTAAAGCACTATTCCTCAGAACAAAGAAAGCTTCAAATTGATCATGAAGGAAATGAACTCATTCATTAATGGGGCACAGATCTTAACTTACATCTCAACAAAGAGACCTCCAGGTTGGGATGAAAACTGAGAACAGGTCCTTGCCCACTGTCAACAGGACATGGAAGGTGAACACCCCGGATGCGTAATGTGAGCCATCACCTCTCCCAGGGTGGCCCGAGTCCAGATGATGACAACCCCAGTGCTGGAGAGGATGTGGAGCAGAAGCTCATCAGTACTTGCCATGGGAGGGAAGGAACCACTGTGGGAGAATTTGATGGGTTCTGAACAGCTAAACAACCCACACCCTAAGGTCCATCAGTCCAGCTTCTTGACATTTCCTGAGAATATCTGTAGAGTTATGTCCACTTAGGTGTCTGTATGCAGAGCTTCTTCCAAATTGGCCAAAACCTGCCCGCAGCCAATGTACACTTTAGTCAGGATTGTGGGACACCAGGTACATGCATCCAGACAGTGGAGCACTGTTCAGGGCAATGGGAAATGAGCATTCAAGTCCTCCACAGGGTTGGAAGAAATGCAGATTCCATTATGAAGAGAGGAAAGCCAATCAATCTGCAAGACTTCATTCTGTACCAAGTGCATGATATCCTGGAAGGAAGGACAATGAGGACATTGAAAAAATAACTGACCGTCACTGGAAGGACTTCCCAGATGTGTGGACTATTTTGAGGTGCTTTGACCACACTGTGAGATCCTATCTTGCTGGACCCAGCCCCTGCATTTGTCCTACACTCAGACTGCAGGCATTGTGTCATGGTGTGAAGCAGCTCTTATAAGTTTGGGGCTAGGCTTCAGGAGCAGCAGATGTGAACCAAGGCACAGCTGGGAGCAAAAGGCAGGGTGGAATCTGTCAGTGCATGGGTGGAAGTTAGGGATAGGCACACACTTCCTGAAGTATTCTCCTCACCTGCAACTTCTCCTTCAAATGAAAGAGCAGTGGAAAAGGACCATCACTTTGGAATGGATATAAGGAGAAAGACAAAACAAATCTCAGCACACAGCCTGACTATCAGCACTGTGGTAGGCTAAACACCTCTGTAGAGGGCATAGTGTGACCTTAGTCTATGTTGCATGCTTCCCCTTTGTCTTTGGGATTTCAACAATGGGCAAAACCTTGAGCTTTGTATAAACTTCCCTTACCTGGAATCCTGAAATTAGATCTGTTTTTCTTTTCTCTGTGTTTATTTGGATGTCATCACTGTCGTTTTCTTTCTTTAAAAATTTTTTTTTCATAACTTTATTGATACACAGCAATGAGACAGTTTCAAATCAAATCGCTAGGACAGTTTCAATAACTAACACACTGCATACATTCTTCTAGTGGTTAATTGCTGTACAAGATGTGGACTTGATATCCTATTTACAAACACCATTAGAACAAATCATTCTATTCATTAACAAAATGTAACTATATATCTATCCCATCCACTTTGCATAATCACTGTGGTTTTCTTATGAGGATGAACATGATATCATAATCTTGACCTTATCTTTTCATTTTTATTGTCAATCTCTCTCTTCCTCTCTTTATCTCTTTCCATTTCTCTTCCTCTCTCCTTCAGCCTCTGAGCCCACCTCTTTCAAGCCCTTCCGAGTCCTCTAGGTGGCCCACATTTCTTGATCTCTTGCTCATGTCCCTATCCCACCAGCATCTGCTCCTGCTCCCAAAGGTCCTGTGTCTCTGTCATGCCACCATCCCAGAAGGACATTGGTGATAACCTCAGCCCCAGGTGCATGGAGAGATTCTTAGCTGAATCACTGCAGCACAGCCCTCTTGTCATGTAAGGTGGGGAGTCACAGGCTGAGAAGGACTACAGTGTGAACAAGTCCAGGGACCTCATTGTGCCTGGCATCCACTATTCATGACTTAGTTCCTCCTGCTTGGAAGGCCATGGTCAGAAGACATTATCTTATTTCTTCAGGCTCCTGGCAAGAATCAGCTCCTGGTCACTGTGACTGAAAGCCTGAGAAAGAAGGAGCAAATCATTTCTGGCCTCACATTCACAGAGGCTCTAGTCTGTGGTCAGCTGGCTCCATGACTGTATGATAAGTGGGGCATGGTGGAAGGACTGTTGGGGCAGGCCTGCTCACCTCACAGCAGGTGTGCTGCAGAGCGAGGAGAAAGAGCCAGAGAGGAAGGGGTTGGATCAGACATCCCGCCCAAGGCCATGCCTCATGACCACTCCTGTCCTTAGGTCTACTTGTATCCTTCCTGCTGCTGTGATTTTTTTTTTTTTTCAATTTGGAAGCAGATACTTTACTAACTGACCAAATCATAAAAACACCATGGGAGATACCTTAGTTCATCCTTCTAATAAGCCTGTTGATCTGGTCTTCCCTATTTCCTGTATCTCCACCTTCCACAAAATGGGTGGTCTTTTTCTTCATTCCACCTCGTGGAGAGGATAACTTGAATGGCCACAGGAAATTATTTTCCTCTTTGAAGCGTTTTCCAACAGTATAGATCTCATGAATCAGATCCTCCATGCAGATGGTTCCATATTTACCAAGAGATCCAGCAATCAATGAATTATCTGTCACAGCAATTCGCTTCTTATTGATTTTGCCATAGCCACGCTTGTATATTAGTTTGTTCACTGACTTCAGGTTTGGGTACCCCATGCAATGTATGGCTCCACAATGCCTGGCATGTTAATTGAAGCCTTGTTGAGCTTAAGGAAGGTACCACTGAAGATTTGGTGAAGGCGAAGAAGCTGCAACACCTTGCAGACCTTTGGACTCACACCACTGATACCCCGATCCGGATGACAAATGCCACTTTGGGCTCTGCAGGGTCACAGAAGTTGCCAGCTTTTCTCGTCATCCCAGCCATTCAGATCTCAGTTCTGTACATCTGTCTGTACTCCTTATGACAGTGTCTGGCTTTTTCATAGATGAGCTTCTTCCTTGCCTTGCAAAGCGTCTTCTGGGCAAACTTCTTTCTCAGGTGCTTTATCTTTAGCTTTGTGAAATGTTTTCACTTTTTCGTAAGGGCTTCTGGCACAGCAGGAACTTTCATTTTCTTCTCTTCTACACCCTCCGTGGTTCCAGCCGGAAAAGAGGTGCTGCTGTGATTAACACTGACATCTTCAGCGAAATCTTTCAGCAGTTCGTCTAAAGAGTCACAATCTGATCATCAGCCCTAAAGTCATCCTAGGGGCACAGGAGTTGGATCCATCAGGAAACACAGGAAGCCCAGAGCTAGAAAAAAGCATGCCACTGTTTCAAGAAAGGGTGTTATGGGTCCCAAGGGTGAAGCCTTCATGAATGGAGGGGCTGAACCAAGGCTGCACTACTTCAGACACTCAAGGCCTGGATCCCACTGGCTTCTGGAGCTCCTGCTTTCATCCCAAGGACTCTGCTATGGAATTCTTTCTCCAAGGTGCCCAGTGTGGTCCAGACCCTGTGTCTCATCCTCTGCTACTTCCAAGGAGCACAGAGCCTGCTGGTGAAGCACTCGCTGAGCCTCACTGGCCAAGCTCATGAACTCCAAGCTGTCAGAAAATCTGGAATCTGCATGAGAGCACAAGTGAGGACTCCAAAGTCATGGAATGGTGCTGCATGTCCCAAAATATCAAGAATGTGCTTAGGATTTCCTTTGACTTGAAAATAACTTAATATTAATTATGCTGCTTTAATATCTTGGTTTTTATTCATATAGCAAATACAAATGAGATAAAGGTTCATATTAGAATATTCCAGTATTGGCTCCTCTGAGAAGCCTTGAGCC